GACTGGCAAAAGTAAAATGGACTGGCGAGGGAGAATCTTGCCGAACTCCTGGTCGCATATCAAAGACCTGGTCTCTTTTCCGTATGCAAGATTTTTTGGGTCCGGTTGAAATATGCAATAACTAACCGAATTGGTCACAGTTTTGCTGGGACGCCATCGAGCCGCATTCTGCGCCACAAAAAAATCTCCGTGGACGCGTCGAAAGCAGCTGCAAAGGCCGTAAAGCATTCATTTTTGGATTGTTGATTACCATCGTGGTATTCAAGAATTCAGCAAACAGAAACCATCCAATCAACACACCCACGACTGACACGAAGACCAGCGTGATTGAGACCTGTTGGGGAATCTCTTGCATTATCAAATAGTCGCAAAAGCAGGACAATGAATTCTTTCCATCCATATGAATAGGAATTGTCCTCGAGAGTTCTTGCATAACGTTTGGTCGCCATTTTGAGGAAAGGAGTAAAATTGCTCTGCAGAAACCCGGTTGAAGCCATTGTTTTGCCTAGATTTGACGCAACGATGTGTGCCAGCATTCCGTTTTAGGCTTCGAACTCAAGTCAAACATCTCTGTCGTCATTAAGTTTTCTCCAAAGGCCTTGCGTACCTTAAGGCTTTAGATTATAGTTTCCAATTCTTGCGACGTGCGTAGTTCACATTTAAAGGGGTTTATCGGGTCTGCCGCATCTTAAATTTCTGCAAGGCTCTCGCGATTGGGATTCGCTTGTTGCTAATGGTTGAGGTGACTTGAGGCTGAATTTTCGCTGAGAATCATCTTATCGGCTGGTAGGTGATGATGTCACCACCGTGGGAAGCGTGTTCTGTTCCTAAGGCCATTCCGTCCTGAAGTTTTTTTTAACGTCTCTGGCAGAATGGGTCATTCCTTTATGGAGACTTTGAAATCTAGCGTTGTCAGAACTCGGGTCAAACGAATTTGATTCGCCTGTTGAAACATTTGTGCCTAAATTCAAACTTTTCGGTTGCGATCTTCGTGACCAGCTATTTAAACGTCAGCAGGCGGACGTGTGGCCAATAGCTGGAAAAAGCGTTAGAAGTCGTGGCGAACGAGGCTACTCATTTTTGTCATGAAATCGAGTGTATTCGACGCACTTGTTTGAGTGAGACCTGAACTGAGCTGTCTTCACTTTAAGCCGTAGCATGATTCTGACCACGAAATGCTCTGAGCCATGTTGCCGTTTTCGGTTCCATGTTTGCAACGGTTAATCAAGAATGAGCTGCTTCATATCCTACGCATCATGATATTATTAATTTGTTATGCCGTGTGCCCATCATTCCAGTAAAGTGGTATATTTGGCACCGCTGGAAGCGTTTATTTGTGGCGATGTTCAATTTCTTCTATTCAGCGAATTGTATTAGACAGTCGCCTTTTCCGTAGCAGGTATCCAACCCATGCTATAATGTGTTTACTGCAGAGTTCGTACTAGCAGTCCATTCTCCGACCACGATGACAAGAACGCTTACATATGTAGTATCTATCAGAGCTTGTAGGTCAGCGTCGAATTGATCTTTCACTTCATCGTCGTCGTCTGGTACAAGACTGTAGTTTGCTTTGAGGGATATATTGAAGAGCGGTACCTTTAGGAGAACATAAATGACATGCGCTAATTGTTCCCCAGCATAAATACGGAAGCCTCTGCTATGCTAGAAAGTACAGCTGCCACTCCATGTTTTTCAGAATTAAGTAATTCTTCTAGCATATGGCAGCAACGGCTATAAGTCAAGATCTAATTTCGACAGCCAAGCGGTAGAATCTGTTTCCATCGC